GAAGAAAAAGATATGAAGAGAAAAAAGGAAATTCCCCCACGGTGGAATGAAGAAAGAGAAAAAAAAATGGGACAGACACCCAGGCTAGGAAACGGCGGCAGGATTCCCCGGAAAAGCTAACGAGAGAAAGCAGCGCATCTCCATCCATCGCCTTATCCGGGTCCACGACGACCAGCCAGCCCCAGGCGCAAACGGGAGCGGAAAGTGTGGCTCGATCTATAAGTAGTAGTGCCTACATACTACGTACTACTACGTAGTACTACGGTACGTATCTCCGCATCGATCTAGCTTTGGTGTGGCTCAAACGGGTAAATGCTGTACTTGCTGTATCAGGGGCTGCTGCTTTGCTGCCTCTCCGCTCCATCTGCCGCTCCGCTCAATCTCCCTCGCCTCGTCCCCCTCGTCAGACCCGGCCGCCTAATTTTGCATTTGCATTTTCCCCGGGTTTGGTTGCGTGCGGGCGTGCGGGCGGGCGGGCGCGTGTGTGTTCTTTGTACTCGGGCCGAGGACGGGGGAATATGAAGGGCAGGACGGAGTAAGGAAGCAATACTGTAATAAATAGACTTGACTGACTGTACAGAAAAATCAATATTGAGCAGATATTCTAATCCAGACTCCCCACATACTCACAAGCTACCTCGTACTAGTCGCTCCGTCGTATAACTAGTAGTCGTGGTGGTGGTGGTGGTGTGGTGGTGTGGTAGTCGTGGTGGTAGTAGTAGTCGTGGTCGTCGTCGTAGTGGAAGTCGTGGTGGTAGCAGTACGACCACTACGACTAGAGATACGCACTTGGTCCCATCCGGGTTATGCGATCATCAACAGACGCAATCCCTTTCTTTCGTTCTTTCTTTCCTTCTTTCCTTCTTTCCTCCTTTCCTCCTTTCCTTCTTTCCTCCAATCATTCCGCCATTCGGCTCCTTCAGCCCTTTTCAGCCCTTTTCAGCCTTCTCACATGTTCCGAGTTTCGGCCGGTCAGACGGACTCGGTCAGGAGGAAGTAGCCACTCGGTACCTACTAGGGACTTACTAGGGACTTCGTAGTACGAGGGACTTACTACGTACGAGGGACCTACTACAGTACAGTACGGAGGACTGCCTTGCTTGGTACCCCACCTTTCTCGGGCCCCTCCCCTGCAGTCGGGCGTGGGGTGGGAAGTCTGGGGAGAGCCAGCCAGGGGAGGGCATGCGATTGTTCGATTTTACTATACTAGTACTAGTGCTGGAATTAGTCCTGGTTTAGTGCGAGGACCACTTAGTACTACTACTACACTTGTACGTAGTAGGTAGGTAGGTACTACTCGTCGTTACCGGTATTCACAACTCCCAAGCCGCGGAGAGCGAGAGGGAGAGGGAGAGAGAGGGAGAGAGAGAGAGAGAGACCGGACCGCCAGGCGAAGCGAACAAGGGGGTCATCAGTCAGTCAGTCAGTCAGTCAGTCAGGCAGTCAGGCAGCCAGGCAGCCAGGCAGCCAGGCAGCCAGGCAGCCAGGCAGCCCGTCGTACGGAAATGATTCGGGAAATGAAACAACCCGGGCACCGACGGAGGGAGTGGGAAGTGGGCAGAGGAAAGGAGAAAGGAGATCATCATGGACAATTTCTAAATGATGCGTCAGGATGATGATATCGGATCCGATCGGATCAGGATTCAGCCAGCCAGCCTGCCTGCCTGCGTGCCTGCCACGGCATCCACCCATCCACCATCCACCATCCACCATCCACCATCCACCATCCACCATCCACCCATCCACCCATCCACCCATCCTTCCTGATTACGGGGTCAATATATAGAATCACACAATACTTAATAATCCCTCCCTCCCTCACCCCACGCACACCCACCGAAACCCACCTAAACCCACCTTTTCTCTCACAAGGGCCTACCCTACCTGGCCTGGCTGGCCCGGGCCCCACTGCAGGCCGGCTCAGACTCAGACTCAGACTCCAGAGTCACTCGCTCGTTACGTGGAGTCGACGGTTAGAGGGGGGTGGAGGGGAGGGGGGTGAGGGGGGTGAGGGGGGGGGGGGGGGTTGGAGAGGGAGGGAAGTACTGACTACGGAGGCACCAGACCCAACCAGACCCAACCAGACCCAGACCCAGACAGACCCAGACAGACCCAGACCCAGACCCAGACCCAGACCCAGATCAGACTAGACCCGACCGCACTAGACTAGAATCGGCTAGGCGAGGCTAGCATGGGCTAGGGAATCATGAGGCATACGGAGCCAGACAAGAGAGACACTACACTACTGGATACCTACAGACTGACTTGTACTGTGTCGCTACTGGTATCTATATAGCCCGGTCCCTCCCCTCCCCTCCCCTCTCCTCTCCGCCTCTCTCCGCCTTTCTCCGCGTTCCTCGCCTAACAACGGTCACGGTACCCTCGTCGCAACGTAGCCCTTTTTCATAACACGACACCCCCGACAAAAGGAAAATCACAGGAAGGAAGGG